CGCCCGCTCTATCCCTGGGAATTGACTATATGTCCACTTTGATTCGCTCAGGCAAAGTCTCGATACTTCTCAGAATTATCGGACGCTAGTCGAAGAAGCAAGCAACCTCATTTTCGAATTCAAGCTAACTTTCGAAACTCGCAAATGATGCTTGAAAAGAGTGGGACCTATCAGCCCATCTTTTGAATATTCTGTTGCTATAAAAAAGATAATCATTGTACCGCATAACTTCTGGGGTTGTGCAGCAGCCACATTGCTGCAAACAAGGAGTTCGAACCAATCCTCCCCGCAACAGAGAAGTACCCTTTCTTTGCCTTTTGACTTCTTTGGGCGGTTGATGCAACCCATCGGCGGTTAACATATGACAATATGTATGAACCCACCTCCTACATTTGAGGAATTCTTTGAGAAACTATTGCAATAGACATTTGCTCGTAGTGGAAGCGTGAAAATGTCGTAAGCTTAGTTTAAGTTTTTCTACAATGCTCTCTGTCACCTTGCGTAATTTTAGTTTACATTAAAGCTTCTCTTGTATCGTATTAGTTTGCAATTTTTGCAATAGCTAGCTTGACACCTGCAAGAACATGACCTTAGTTTGAATTTACGTGCTGCGCAGCGCCTTCTTACTTTCATATATCTTCCTTGCACTTTGTTCACGTCAAATGTGTTTCGTTCAAACGAGCAATCAATGAAAAAGTGCGAGGATAAGATTTACGAATGCGACCTCTGATGATAGAGTACGCTTGGGTGACGTGGATTTGTCAGTTCATGCTAAGGTGCTTGAGTGATACGCTTAAAATCAAAGATGAGCTGTAGCCCACACTAAGATAGCTACACGTTCGTTTCAAACCACTTAGATTGAGCTTGGAGCTCTTGTGCACCACTATCGCTGGGCTAGTCACGACCTACAACTTACGACAATTTTTGAAGTTTTTGAAATCGAAAATTTACAGGGGTAATTAGTAATAATTATCTTCGTGCTTAAAACCATCTTTAGACATACACATTAATGCAAAAAAGTTTTTCGTATACTTCAGTATTTATTACTTTTGCTAATTCAAATATTGGATTGCACATAAATCATAGTTTATATTATTTCTTGCGTATCTCCAACGACATCGATGTAGTCATTTTCATCTATGCCCGAAAGTGAGGCTACCATCACATCTGGTGGCCTTATCGTCACGTCTTCGATCTGGAAGCCGTTATCCATAGGCAGTCTCACTTCCTAAAAAAACATAGAAAAAGTAAATGCAATCAAAGCACCCTCTGCGAAATATGACCAACATCATCTTGCTCCTCTCGTACCGAACTGTCGTGGGCGTCCACAGACACAGTTCTCTTCCGTTTTCGTATGACTTTCTTCATCACTTTTGCACATTTGTCGTCTAGCGATTGTTTCATCTGGCGTTTTTGATAAGGGTCAAGATCGAGAGGTACTGAAACAGCGAACTTTAAACCTTTGATACGCAGGTGTAGTGCGCGTAAGAATTCAGCAAATTAGAGAAGTAAATGCGAAGAGATGACCACGAAAATAGCGATATGTAAAAAATCCTATGAAATGAAAAGACTTTGATAAATAGCATTTCATCATTTTCAAAACAGTATGCAGGTATTCTGTGATAAAAACAAAGTTAAAGCTCATAAATTCCAAATGCATCAAAAAATTGTGGAACGTGTATCGCAAAATAGCAACATACCAGCTTCAAGTACAGTCTCAGAAAACCGATCAGCAGATATTTCAGGCAACTCATTTGTAGAGGAACACTTTTCGTAGAACTCCAACTTAGTCCTTTTGAGCACGGCATCTACCAAATCCTTACCCTAGAAAGAGAATGAGGAGAAAATCTTGAAAGAAATTGCCCGGCTTTTACTATGGACATATTAATTGCGGCTTTGATTTCAAAATAACCTTTATTATGGGGATAACTCTCTGGAAGGAATAAGGAGGTTTCCTATGAAACGAATTACGCGATCTGCATATGCTTGGGAAATAAACTTTAATCTAAGCAGCAATAATACTTCAAGCCGCATGCGTTTACTCTACTCTCGCATTTGTGGAAGATCATAGAAGTGATCAACAAATCAGGGGTTTCTCATCGAAAGTAGCGTATACCTCGCAGAAATGATGTGCATTCAAAGGTTCATCAGGGTCCTCCTTAATCACATCGTTGTCGATAAGAACCAAAGGTATTTTCAGACTCCGAACGTCCTTACCCTAAAGTACCTCATTTTAAAACATAGGATAAGATAAGTGCAATAATGACATACCTGCTTTTTCAGTTTTGCGCGTATCTGCATACAATGCATGCACTTCCATGACACTAACCCTGGAATCTGAACAGATACCAAATAGTGCAGAGAACAACCATGAAATAAGTCAGACCTACCTTGAATCGCGATGAAACCAAAAATTCGTAGACCCTCCCATGTTCCCTCCTACTTTGCCAGATAAACACTTTATTTTTCCTATGTCGACTAATCGCATAAGTTGCTACACCGTAAGAATCCTTTGATGTGGAAGCCATGGAACTGAAAACGTTTGAAATTTGCAGAAATTATTTTTGCACTGGTCAATGGCTACAGAATAACACAAGAGAGATAG